GCCAGTGACACCCTTATCTTGTGAATGTATAAAGGATAAAAAACTTTTCTCCTTCCCCCCCTCCTCCCTTGATTTTTCATGCTGCACTTGACATTGTTTTATAGGCATCAGGTTCACAGCTCTCCGACTCTGAAAATTCTCAACCTTCTCCGTCAGCCGTTTCATCCCTTCTCGAAGCTTCTCTGCCTCCTTTCGCAGCTTCTGTTCTCGCTGCTGGCTGCCTGTCCAATCTTCCAACGTACGCCCTTACCACGTCAAAACCGAAAGAACTGCAGATGCTATGAATCAGAAACAGAAGTTGCTGGAAAAGCGCAGCAGGTCGGGCTGCATCGATGGAAAGAAATCAAGAGTTAACGCTTTGAGTTGAATGACTGACCCCCCCCTCCCCTTCCTTCAAACATTGCTGAGGAAGAGTCACTCACGACCCAAAATGTTAACTCGTGATTTCTCTCCACAGATGCTGCCCGACTTGCTGAGTTTTTCCAGCAATTTCTGATTTTGATATATCCTACCGCAACCATTTCTACATTATCCCTTGAGATAAGGATATCTCAAGGAGTTTCACAGGGTCCTAGGCACATATTAGGTCTGAAATCCTGGCCAAAGAAGTGGGTTTAAGGACTGTGAAAAAGCAGGAAAGTGATGTAGAAAGGTGGAGAGGTTTAAGGAGGAAATCTCAGAACTCAGGCAGCTGGAGGCATCGCCACAAATGGAGATGTACTTCAAATCAGGGATGAAAGGCATCCAGTAATGGTGCTCCATGAATGTGGCCCTGATGGTCCATGTTCAAGGTCCAAATCTGAACGTTAGGACCAGTTAGACCTAGTCCCAGAGAAACACAAATTCTAAGGAAAAATATCCTGTAAGATCTGTGCTTATTGGTACGTCAAAAAACGAGGACCAGTTGAGTCTTTTGGACTTCGTAACAATGAAAGGACGGTACAGCCGTGCAACAGGCCCTTCGGCTCACCAACCCTGTGCTGACTAAAAAGCTTTTGCCTCTGCAGTCTGAATCTTCCTATTCCCTGCCTATTCATGTATGTGTCAAAATCAGTCAAGGACGCTAACCTGAAAAAGAATTAAAGTGCTCCAGGTTTCAGTGATGCAACGAGAATGTGCTTTGAGATTTAAAAACAAAAGAGAAATCAGGAATTCTGGTTCTTCTCCACAGAATGGCCTTTCCTCATGAGGCTCTCTTTTATCCTGGTTCTCATCTGGTGTACCCCTCCCACATGTGAGCAGTTCTCATCTCACTATATCATGTGATGGCCTGTGCATTCACCATTATTCTATTCTCCTCGTCTCAAGGCTGCTACACCTTGCTGCCTTTTATTTCCCGAACAGCCTTCATAAACCGTTTCACGCTTTTGTTAACTTTAGCTGCAATACGTTTTTGCAAACTTGAGAAACTCCCAGAGATGGTAGGAACTGCCGATGCTGGAGAATCTGAGACAACAAGGTGTAGAGCTGGATGAACACAGCAGGCCAAGCAGCGTCATAGGAGCAGGAAAGCTGACGTTTCGGGCCTAGACCCT